GTTCATGACACATAATATGAACTAATTCACGTTCAAGTTCTTGATTAAAAAATTTGTTGCGTTCAGTTCAACGTTCACGAAAAAATGAGCGTGTTCAATGAATGCGTTCTTTTGAACTCGTTCACGCACAACACTGGCAAAGACTGTGGCAGAGACTGTGGCAGAGACTGTGGCCGAGACTGTGGCAGAGACTGAAGCAGAGACTGAGGCAGAGACTGGAGTAGAGACTGGAGTAGAGACTGGAGCAGAGACTGGAGCAGAGACTGGAGCAGAGATTGAGGCAGAGACTAAAGCAGAGACTGAAGCCGAAACCAATGCAGAGACTGAAGCAGAGACTGAAGCAGAGACTGAGGCAGAGACTGAGGCAGAGACTGTGGCAGAGACTGAGGCAGAGACTGAGGCAGAGACTGAGGCAGAGACTGTGGCACAGACTGTGGCAGAGACTGGAGCAGAGACTGAGGCAGAGACTGAGGCAGAGACTGAGGCACAGACTGGGGCAGAGACTGAGGCAGAGACTGAGGCAGAGACTGAGGCAGAGACTGAGGCAGAGACTGAGGCAGAGACTGTGGCAGAGACTGAGGCAGAGACTGAAGCAGAGACTGAGGCAGAGACTTAAGCAGAGACTGAGGCAGAGACTGGAGCAGAGACTGAAGTAAAGGCCGAAGCAGAGACTGAAGTAAAGGCCAAAGCAGAGACTGAGGCGGTAACTGAAGCAGGGATTAAAGCAGAGACTGGACCAGGGACTAAAGTAGAGACTGAAGCAGGGACTAAGGAAGGACAAAAACAGGACAAGAACAGGACTAAAGCCGAGACTAAACCTGAGACAAAAGGAGAGACAAAAGCAGGACCAGAGCAGGACTAAAGCAGAGACTAAAGCAGGTCTAATGCATGACTAATGCAGGACTAGAACCTCACTTAGAAAAGGACAAGACCAGGATTAAAGTAGCACTATAACTATACAGAGACAGGACTGAACCAAGTCTACAAACAAGACTAAACTGATCTTAAACCAGAACCAGGTTTAAATCAAGGATTTAAACCAGGACTAATGCAGGAATGTTATCATGAACCCTCCCCCTCCTCTATCAAATATTTACCTCCCTAGACTTCACCCTGCGATTGTATTGACAGACCTCCCCGATGCTATGAATAATGCATGGGGCAATTCCTAACCCCATCTTGATAGAGGTCACCATTTGAATAGCAGACACAAACTCAATACTTCAGCTTCATCTTGAGACGTCTGCTTGTGAAAGACTCTTGCGATATAACATAAGCAAAATGTTATTATCTGTGCGTTGGTGGATGTAGTCTTACCTCGAGGCTTTCTTTATTGGAAAGACTGAATTCTTTCGACATCATTCAGTCTCATACTTGTTAGTTCAGAGAGAGTAGATCATTATTTTCTGTATAAAAAAGCAAAATCTCTCATTACTCATGTCCCTGCAGTCACATCTTTAATTGCTCTTGATAGACCGGAAAAAAAAGCACCTGAGCCCGGAGATAAATCTCTTTATAACTAGATTCCTTTTTGAGATTGTGAAACCACCAACGCTGCGTTTATGATTAGAAAGAAATTGTAGACATTTAAGATTGATGTCACATACTTAACACTGCAGCTCTTAGACGTATTTGAGTAGTGGCACTCCAAATATTACATTACAGTTTGGCCCTTCTGTACTGAACTGTGCTATACTATCCTGTACTTTATCGGACTGCAGTTTTTGAATTTGAAACTAAATATATCGAATACGACGTCGCCCTCTGGTGGTAGATGTTTGTGATAATTTGTGCCATAAGTCACTGAATTGAACGTCACTTGAGCTAAAACTAGTTCTGTGTGTGTCTGCGTTTGTCCGTTTATGTCTCTGTGTGTGTGTGTGTGGGTGTGTGTGTGTGCGTGTGTGTGTGTGTGTGTGTGGATGTGTGTGTGTGTGTGGATGTGTATGTGTGCAGATGTGTGTAAGTGTGTTTGCGTGTGTGTGTGTGTGTGTGCGCTTGTGTCTGTGTATGATTGTGTTTAGGTATGTGTGTCTGCGTTTGTCCGTGAGTGAGTGTGTGTGTGATGTGTGTTTGCGTGTGTGTGTGTGTTTGCGTGTGTGTGTGTGTGTGTGTGTGTGTGTGTGTGTGTGTGTGTGTGTGTGCGTGTGCGTGTGCGTGTGTGTGTGTGTGTGTGCGGATGTGTGTGCGGATGTGTGCGCGAGTGTGGACGTTTGTGTGTGGACATGTGCGTGTGCCTTTGTTTATTTGTGTGTGTGTGTGTGTTTGTATGTCTGTATGTGATTGTGTCTGCATTTGTGCACGTGCGTGTGCGCTTGTGTCTGCGTGCGATTGTGTGTGTTTGTGTTTGCATGTGTGTACATCTGTGTGTTTGTGTTTTATGTGTCTGTGCATGTGTGTGTGTGTGGACATGTGCGTGTGTGGATATGTGTGTGTGTGTGTTTTTTGTTTTGTGTGGATGTGTGTGTTTGTCTGTTTTTGCATGTGTGTACATATGTGTGTTTGTATTTTTATGTGTCTCTGTGTGCGTGCGTGTGTTTAGGTGTGTGTGTGTGTGTGTTTTAGGTGTGTGTGTGTGTGTGTGTTTTGAATGGCATGGACTGGACTGGTCTCCGTTAGTTTCCATCACGTAATGTAACCACAAAAGTAATTTATTCAACCCTATTTTTTTTCAGTTTAATTTGAATTTACAAACAGTAATAATAGACAACATTGTTCGGTCGTTGTCTGAGTCTCATAAAGTAATTAAAGAAACACAATACAGTGCAATGATAACGTTTGATAATATCATGTATTCTGTGGAATCAAAGGAAGGCGTGTGTCTGGGGGCCGTGTGCTGCTGACTGATAGATTGGGTCCATTTTTTTTTGTACACTGGCTTTAAATTGGCTGTTAATCAGACTGTTGCCACGGCTCCCAGTTCAAGTCGAAGTGGCCCTGAAAGAGAGCACTCCATTGGGGCTGATCTAGCTCCTGTTGTTTTATTTCTCTGGCTCTTAAAGCTGAGGTACATTATACATTTTTTTAAGTCTTTTGTGCAAGAAAAAACCCTATGTGTCACATTTTGACGCTTTGGCCTGGCAGCTGATGAGGGTGGTCTTCTCTTTGTCTCTTTTCTGTCTAAAAAGCTGATCTAACGACGTGACAGAGGCATGAAAACTAGTGACAGAAGCAAACTGTTTTGAGAGACAAGGAATGGATTTTATTTGTAATTTTTTTTACGTTTCCATTTTTTTGCTGTTTGAAAATTAGGGATCACATCTTTTAAAATGATTGTGTTTCAAGTATTATTATGGGATTTTAGTGGAAAAAGTATTCATAAACACAGATAAAGTCCCATCATTACGATCTCAAGGAAGAACTCCTTGCTTGGATTACATAACGATAGATTTAGTGTGTGTGTGTGTGTATGTGTGTGTGCGTCTGTGTGAGTGTGCACGTGTTCATGGCTGTATATGAGTTTGCTTGTGTGTGTTACAATATTGTCACATAGTAAAAAGATCAACATTTGAAATTCAATTACTAATCAAGCCGCATTTTGACTAATAATAATGCATATTTGATTAAGTTTCAGTGGTGAGAATGATCTCTTTTGCAAAACCTCTGAACCTCTGATTTAGCAGAATAACAGCCACCTCTTGTTTTAAGGCAGTCAACATGAGTTTACATAATGCATAATTCAAGCAATTTTTTACTTTTTTCTCCCCTTTTGCAGTGTTTGTGGTTGATTCAAAAATGTATTGTTGAATCTGAAAATGTCGACCAACCGATTCCCTGCTACAACAACACTGGACTTTTTCATTTCTACAGTTTTGTACGAGAAATAATTGGACCTTATTAGAGCTTTTTTAGATCATTATTGTGTGTCACATGACAAATCCTGCTCTCCTGAGACACAGATATATGAAATCTATGCTGTCACATTATGGTTGCTTTTTATTATCAGAGGATTTAAATGCAGCAAACTTAAACTGCAGTGGCTGTGGGAAGTGTCTATGCTGACCTGATTTACTGAAAGCTTAAGTCTTCCTGCTGGTTTTAAAGAGACACATTCTCCCTAAGCTTGCTACAAATGCTAATACATAGTTACACAACATAACAAACTGTTACTTTTATAGCTTGTGTTCTCAATGAGGCAGAACCGCACTAAAACTAAAAAGAAAAACAGCTTTACTAGAGCTGCAGGAAGATTAAAGCTGGATTCATGAAGAAAATGACAGACCACAAAATCTTTCAAATCAATGCATATTGGGTTAACTTACGTATTACTCACATGTTGTTTGTCCCAGCAAAAACAATCCTTCTCTGGTCTCTCTCTGTACTTTCTTTTGCTTTTTCTCTTTCTCTCTCTGGGGTCTCAGGTCTCTCTCAGATCTCTCCCGGTCTCTCTTGGTTCTTTCTTTCGTTCTTTCTCTATCTCTCTTTGGGGTCTCAAGTCTTTCTCTGATCTCTCCCGGTCTCTCTCGGTTCTTTCTTTCGTTCTTTCTCTATCTCTCTCCGGGGTCTCAGGTCTCTCTCTGGTCTCTCTCCCTTGTCTCTCTCAGGTCTCTGGTCTCTCTCTGGTCTCTCTCTGATCTCTCACTGTTCTCTGTGGTCTTTCTTTAGTCTTGTAAAAGCTAAATGTTGTGAACAAGTCAGACCACAATACGCTGTATTTGTCTTATTAGAAAACATAATAAAAAGCCCTTTGAGTCATTATTTGACGCTTTGGGCTGAGAGGTGATTGTCTTTTTCACTTCTCTGTCTGAAAAAGCTGATCTAAAGATGTGACAGAGGCCAAAAATACGTAGATGTGAAAACTAGTGATAAAGGCAGAGCAAGATGGCTACCTGAGTAAACTATTATATATACATAAAGCTCAAACAAAATGGAGCAAAACTAAGTGCTAGCTCTTAAATAAGCACCAAACCCAGACAACAACCACTGCATAAACCAGGACTAAAACAAGACTTAAACCAGGACCAATCCAAGGGCAAATCTCACTTTTTTTGTGTTTCCAGATCTCGTTGCTGAAGCAGAGTCTGGAGCTCCAGTTGTCCCAGTCTCAGGCCGCGCTACAGCAGCTGCAATCTCAGTTCAGCCAGGAGAGGGAGCATCTCACACAGCAGCTCAAAGGTAAGTGAGATCTGGCGTGAAAACATGTTTGTAGTGTGCACAGAAACAAATTTGCTGAAGGGTGTAAGACAGGATTAACCAGGATTAAAGCTGGGGTACCTAACTTTATATAATACGTGGCGTTTGTCCCTAAATGTGTGTAAACAAATCAGACCACAACATACAAGATCCATGTGACAACTAGTGATAGAAGCAAACAAAACACTAACACTGTATCCGAATGTCCACACTATACCCTATATAGTGCACTATATAGTGGTCACGCCATTTTGTAGGGGTGTCCGAATGTCCAGAGAGAAAAAGTAGTGCACTGGAATTTTCCCACAATGCATCTCGAAAATGTAGTGAGCAGCAGTGGTCACTATACGGAAGTAAAATGGCGGAGGCAGCGAGAGACGTGTTGGAACAGGAGCGGGACATGAGCTATAAATGTGAGTTTTTAATCATCATAAATATGGAAATGTGTAAACCGTGATGTGTTTTTGACGATAAGCTGCCAAAATACACATTTGAAGTCAGAATACCATCGCCGTTTAATGCGAAACAACGTACCAATGTTTGCCTCATCCATGGGGGATGCTGCTTCCACATCTGTGGAACAACCCCCTCCCCCCGTACAGCCAGACGAGGAAGAGGAAAGAGTGGCAGCCAAGAGGCCGAGAAGGGAGAGTTTGATTAGTTTTTTGGAGAAGGTGGAGAAGAAGGAAGAGGAAAGGTAGAAGCGAGAAGAGGAGAGGGGAAGAAGAGAGGAAGAGAGAGAGGAGAGACTGTTGAGTTTGTTGGAGAGAATAGTTGATAAATTATAAATAAAAATTTATTTTGATAAGTGTAGTTTGAACTATATGCATATTGAAATATAATGATGAACACTATTTACACAAAAAAAATTTAATCAACTAGACATTTGTAAAGAACTATACATACATTCAACAATTTCTTTTTAGATATTTACATATTCAATTGTTTTTGTTTTTATTTAAATAGGCCAAAACACAGATTATTCAAACATTTAATTAATAGTCGTGGTCCCGAAGAGCTGGTAGCCTGGCCCTTGGAGTGGAAAGTGCTGCTGCCATCCGTCCACGCAGCTCCTGTCCACACTGCTGATCAGGCTGGTGCTGCTGATGCTGGTCCTGCTCATCATCAGGCCCTGGCTCCTCTTCCACTGGCTCCCAGAGATCACCATTGCTGACGCAGATGTTGTGCAGGATGGCGCAACAGGCAGTCACCTGGACTGCAAAGGTGGGTTGGACTTCCAGTGCCTTAAAAAAAATTGATCGCCATCTTGCCTTCATCATGCCAAACGCTCTCTCTATTACAGATCATGCCCGTGCATGGTGCCGGTTGAAGCGGGCTTCCACTGGGCTCCGAACAGGCTCTCTGTATGGAGTGAGGAGTGTGATGGGCTGACGGAGGCAAGGGTAACCCCCATCACCAAGGAGGACGTGTCCATTTGGGGGATAGAGCCGGTGGACGTAGAGGGGGCTGTTTTTAAGCACTCGAGAATCGTGCACAGATCCGGGGTAGCCAACAAACAAATCAATAAATAAGCCACGGTGATTACACACAGCCTGCATTTGAATAGAATAAAACAATTTCCTGTTAAAATAACACTGTGCATTCTCTTGAAGGAGCTTTATTCTAATGTGGCAGCCGTCGATGCTCCCCACAACATTATTGAGAGCAGCTGATCCAGCCAGCAACTGAAACCCAGCTGCAACTTGGGGAAGTTCCTCCAGGGAAGGGAAATGAATTATTTGGCCACGCATTTGAAGGATCTGGTTGGCCACCCTGTGGATCACATCGTGGACTGTGGACTGGGGCATGTCAAATGCCCTGGCGACAACACGGTATGCGGTGCCACTGGCCAACCAAAAGAGGAAGACCAAAACCTCCATGTCCTGGCTCCAGCCCTGGTGATGAGCACTCCTCAGGTGGCTAACCAGACGGGTGATGGTGGTTCGAGTGAGGCGAAAATCGGGGCGAAGGTCAGACTGGCCATTTAAGTACATGCTGACTAGGGGTACATGGTGGTTCAGTCGGCAGTACACCGGTGGTTCACCCTAAAACAAAACAAAAATTCTCTTAAACTTAATATGATACTTCTAGATTCATTTTTTAATTCTGTATCTGCACTTTTAGTTATGAGTGCAGAAACAGGAATAAGTACTCATTTTTCATTTTGAGATTTAAAAATGTAAATAAAAATGAAGAGTATATAGCTGAAGTCATGTTCTTTTGTGCCCTGGCATTGATTTTGCCAAATGTATTGTGTGTTGCAGGGAGCTGGAGCTGCCCTGAGACAACTGAAGTAGAAACCTTCAGCCTACATCACTCGCACCTAATAACACACACAAAAATCACAGAAGCCCTGTGCCCCATGGCCAAGCAAATTCTATTATTGTTTAATGATTAAGTACTCATTTTTCATTTAGAAAAAATGAGTACTTAATCCATTTTCCTTGCTATGGTTTTGTGTTCTTTCAACCAATAAAATATTTTAATGTTCTTGCATTTTAAGTGAGTGTGTCTATACAATGTGTTTTCTTGTTGAAATATGTCTAAATGTATATGACTAATGTGTTTCTCATTGACTGAGAATAGTATTTTTAATTAGTAAGTACACCAAAAGTACTATAATTTACCCAGTAGATGGTGCTAATGCTATATAGACAAAGGACGAATACAATACTTACACGACGCCTTGCTAATGAACGAAGAGCCATTCTCCTCCTCCGCCTCATCGCCTGTCTTCGCCTTCTCTCTGTTCGGCGGTTTTTAATTCGCATTATGATAACTTGTATAATAGTTATCAAAAACACCGCACAATTCAGTGGAGGTGCCATTTCACCAGTGTTTAGAGGAGCCGGTCAGGTGGCGGGAATATGAAAGACGTCAACCAAAATTCATAAATATGAATATAAATTGTAAAAACATTTTATACATGTATATTAGACAAATATTGATATTTTAATATACTTTTATTTCTATATAAAATTATATTGATCCAATGACATGTGACAGGGGTGTGATGTGGGCCGCGGCTAAAAATAGTGTGCATGTGTCCGAATCGCCAACAGAATGAGTGCACTGACTCACTCACTCAGTCGCTATATAGTCCCGAACTATATAGTGAGTGAGTGAATAGGGTATAGTGTGGACATTCGGATACAGCCTAAGTTCCCGCTTCACTTTTATCGCTGCACCATTGAAAGTTTGCTTGTTGTACCATGTTTCAAAAAGGAGGAAGGACCTTCTATACAATACTGTAAAAAATAAAATTATTGAATATTAAACAAGAATCCAAAAAACAACTCAACTGCGTTTAATACACAGGAACAGAAGACTAAAATGGACTGACAGCCAGAGGGAAAGAGCACAGGGATTTTAACTGGAAGACCAAAGAGAGACCAGAGAGAGACCAGAGAGAGGCCAGAGAGAGACCAAAGAGAGACCAAAGAGAGAGACAGGAGAGAGAGACCAGAGAGAGACCAGAGAGAGAGACCAGAGAGAGAGACCAGAGAGAGACCAGAGAGAGAGACCAGAGAAAGAGACCAGAGAGAGAGACCAAAGAGAGAGACCAGAGAGAGAGACTAGAGGGAGAGACCAGAGAGAGAGACCAGAGAGAGAGACTAGAGGGAGAGACCAGAGAGAGAGACCAGAGAGAGAGACTAGAGAGAGACCAGAGAGGGACACCAGGGAGAGAGACTAGAGAGAGACCAGAGAGAGAGACAAGAGACAGACCAGAGAGAGGTTACAATAGTACTGTACATCCATCTAATTTATATTGTTTATTTAAAGCCCAAAGACTCAACTCGTTACTCACATGGCTCTTTCTTACATAAAAGTGTGATTTGACATGTTTTTTTTTTGTTTTTTGTTTTTTTATGGGGTCAAAGTTAGGTACCCAAGCTTTAAATGCCCATTTTGTTGTTCGGACGTATCTTTTTGGTTTCTGCATCTCGTCTAGTTCACATAGCCCCTTGGTTTGCCATTACTCACTGAGAATGAGGGCTTTCAATATTTCTTATTTTTGTAAAGGTGAAAATGTTTGATTGTGTGTGAGTGAATGTGTTTGTGTTGTCAGAGCTGCAGAGGGAGCACCAGAGGAGAGAGCACCGGCTGCAAGAGGCTCACTGCTGTGCCCTCAGTACCATGGAGGAGGCCCGGCAGCACCAGATCAGGGTAACACACACACGCACACAAACACACATACATACATACACACACACACACACACACACACACACATACATGCATACATACACACTCTTACACAAACATGCATACACACAACCTTATACACGTACACACACACAAACAATCATACATACATACACCCACACACACACACACACATACACACTCTTACAGGCACATGCATACACACACACTTACACACATGCATACACACACCCTTATACACGCACACACACACAAACAAAATTCCATTCTGAGGTTTTAGAGCCCCTGCTCATGCAGTTTCCTGGTTTTAATACTGGGCTGCGTCATGAATCCTAATCAAGTGGAAAATTGCTATTTTCTTGGTTGTAATTAGCAAATACTGCAATTAATTAAACTCTTTGCAATCCGAAAGGGACTAAAGAAAAGCAAAACGTCACTAGCATTTGGGGAAATGTCTCTTGATTTTGGTTGATTTTTAAGATTTGTCAATGGAATAAGTATCTCTGGTCTCTCTCTGGTCTCTCTCTTGTCTCTCTCTGGTCTCTCTTTCATCTTTCTGGTCTCACTCTTGTCTCATTCTGGTCTTTTTCTCTCTGGCTTCTCTGGTCTCTCTCTGGTCTCACTCTGGTCTATTCTCTGGTTTCTTTTGTCATATATTTTTCCACCAGAATGTGAAACTAGGCTCTTTAGACCATTGTGATGTCACATGAACCTAACCCATTCAAGCCTTTACATATATTTCAAATTTTTGCCAAGAAATTTTATTTATTTTATTTTTTATATTTTGAATAAAAAATTTTGCACTCTATGTCCATAAACATGGTCTGAAATGTGTGATAATCACTTATACTCTCTTTAAAGTTGCTTTAAGAAAGACTTTAAGACTGTAATTTAAATATATTATTAAATCTATTGCCCCTTTGCTCAGGCGTTGGAGGAGCGGCTGAAGCAGGAGCAGAGGGAGGAGGTGCATGCGCTGAAGGAGGCGCACAGACGGACACTGGACATCCTCCGGCAACAGTCCGACCAGGAGCTGCAGACTTTGCGCTTCGAGCTGGAGGACGAGGGCAAAGCCAAACTGGGTGAGACTCAGGTCCTGAGACGTCCACATCTCTGTGCACAGTGCACAGTCACACAAACTAATCTAGTTCTCTTGATTTGAATCATGACAAAAGGTTTTCTCCTAGTTTAGACCTGCTTTAGTCTAGTCTTGTGTCTCCACCTTCATGAGAAAACCTTAGTTTCCTTTCTGCGTAGGTTTACTCCGGGTGCTTTGGTTTCCCCTACATCTTACTGAACTGTCCAGTAGGTCTGGCACCTCCTGTATGGAGACTGCACTGAAGTGAGAGACAAATGCCCATAACAATGGATTTGCTTACTCACTTACTGTACTTACTAAGCAGGGAAGATTCTGGGTAGTGCTGTGATGGGAGATCACTGGTAACACAAGGTACCCATGAATCTACTATAATATTTGGATGGGGTAAAACTAGCTTGGAGCTGAAGGATCGATGCGCTCGGAGGATTCTCACAGTACTGCAGACTTAACAAGATTAAATTCACGTGGGCTACCGAGAACTGGACTCAATGTAAACTAAAACAGCTCGACCTCAGCTGACAGAGAATCTACAGCTTTCATAAAGGTTGGATTTTGTGGGGATTTTAGTGTCCCTTGTCATCCTGAACTTTGTCTTCGTCGCTGTCCCGCTCTAACTCCGCTCTGATCAGTAGCTCTGATTGGTCAAGACACGCCGAGCCCCTCTCTGCACGTGCCTGAGAATCGCACACTCATATTTGGCGCAAATCATCATGGAGCTTGTCCACTGCGCAGAACCAGGAGGACCAGAGGTTGTCCAAATATGGGCGAGTTCCGCTAATCTTTCGGTGCCCATGGTGGCACATGTGCTACTGAGCACAAGCCATTGATTTGAATTGGCCGCCATCTTGGATCTGCAGGGCTTGCAGGTGCCACAGTGGGTCGGCTGTGTCATTGTGTCCTTCAGCCACATTGTCTGACTGATTCTGGTGTGAATGTTTGCGGGTGCTCAGTGGGGCTGCTGTTGTCAGTGTGCCCCAGGGCAGCTGTGGCTCCAGGAGTACTTTATCACCACTGTGTATGGAGTAAATGAATAATGCTTTGGATGTCATGGAAAGTGCTAAATAAATAGCATGCATGATTAGCTTGTCTTAGTTTAGACCTAGTAAGTATTTTCATTATAGATAATATTGTTTATGGTAAGAAATAGTTTCGTAACTGAAAGAGTCTGAAAGTGTAATGTTGTGAACAGTTTTGATGCTGAGAGCTGATTGGTTGAGTGATGGTGGTCCTCTCTACTTCACTTTTTGGTCTGAAAAAGCTGATCTAAAGCTGTGACAGAGGCCGAACATGCATCAATGTAAAGACTGAGAACGACAAAACTAGTATCAAATCCTTTGTGGATGAAATCTAGACACCCCAGCTTTAATATAATCATACAGAAGTGCCATTTTAACACTGTTCTGGCGTGTTTCTGTCTTCAGCCTCTCTTCGCGCTGAGCTGAACCACATTCACGCCACGGCCATCGAGCACCTGAAGCAGATCCACCTGAAGGAGCACACAGTGGCCAAACGAGAGCTGGAGAAGGCCATTGAGCACAGCCGACAACAGGTTACAACCGCTCATTATATTGTAATTTAAATTTCTTTGATTATCCGAAAAATGTACACACTTTTTAACCCTGTACCCATCTACCACGAAACACAATGAAAACTGGGAAATATTGACAAAACTGCATGCGTAATTATATTTTTGATATATTTTTGAGAATATTCCAGATAATTTTTTGATAAATCTGGTCTAAATGCATGTAAAAGTCTTCAAATTACTGCAAGACTGATAAAGAACCATTGGAACATACTGTAGCTATATGTATGTATTTTGAAGTATTTTTTTATCATTAAAAGCCAGATATTTTATCCAACAAAACTAGTACTATGCAACATTTTTGGATACACATTGGAGACCAAGAACATAACAGAAGTATACACACACGCACACACACACAATTTATACCTCCATAGATATAAACAGAAAACAAAGTCTAAATTGTTTTATTTCCTTTAGAGTTTAAATTTTGCAAAAGTAAAGTGTTGCTCATCTAGAAACTGAAAGTTTTCCCATTTGCTCATTTAGAATAGTAAAATATAAAAATGTTCATGGCACTTTTATAAATTTTTAGGCACTCAGAGAACTTCACCGATAGGAACCAACCACCTGCTCACTCACACACATTCTCAAACACTACGAGTGAGGACGGCTGAGTGTCTTGCCCAAGGACACACAGCAGAATTCACCATTAGGAACTGGTTTCACGCTTGAAAGTTGATTGGACTGTTAGGCATCAATGATATTTTATGTCTGAAGCAGGATTCAAACCGACAACCCTCAGTTCAGAGTCTGTCAGACTAGACGGAGAGACTTTGTGAGCACAGTTTTAAGACTTTCGCTCGGATTTAGGACTAGGCTTTGGGCCATCCCAACCCATCCATTTATTTTGTGTTTAAACCATTGTAGCTCTGGCTTTATTTTTAGCTCAGCCATTTTAAATAATTTGACTTGCCCTGTATTTGACTCCATCTGTACCTGCCATACATTTCCTACAGTCTTGCCTTTGCCTGCTGAAGAAAGGCAGCCCCACAGCATGATACTCCCCCCACCATAACTGTTATTGACTTCATACACACCAATGGCTCCCTTGTGTTTCTTATCATAGTACTTTATATCCTGCGTTGGTTAATAATATGCTACCCAACAAATAAAGTTAATTGAATCAGTAAATTGAGTCGGGGCGACAGGTTCAGTTGGTAGAGCATTGGCCTTTGTGCCCGAAGGTCGTGGGTTCGAGCCCACCACTAGACCTACTTCCTGACTCCCACTGATGTCTGCTGTCGTTTGTGTCCTTGGGCAAGACGCTTAACCCCACTTTGCCTGAAGCCCCTGCTGGAAGATCAACGCTCCTGTGGTCTCACCACCTGTGGATCAGTGAGGGGCACCACCTAAAAGAAGGAAAAGACTGATCCTGTTTGTAAATGAGGGGCTGTACTGCTCTGCCCCCGACCCCTTAGAAATTTGGCTCTTGAGGGGATTATAATCTTGACAGAAGTCCACATGAAAGAGAACTTGAGGAAAAGTGACAGTTTTATACAACTGAAGTTCCCCCTGTTTGTTAAATGAGTTTTTACTTTCACATTTTAAAACATGCAGTAGAGAGCAAACTTAAAATCGTAGTATGTAGTGTGAATGTGTGTGTGTGAGTGTTGACCACAAGGGGCCCCCATTACATGCGTTTTTTTCTGTACGAGAGAACAAATATGTATATGGTACTCCTGATTTGCTTTTCCTATAGATATAAGTAAGTAGTAAGTAAGTAAGTAATCTTTATTTATATACCACCTTTTCACTGCAGATCTGAGTCTCAAAGTGGTTTACAATTGTTAATTATGGGCAATTGTCTCTCACTCCACACAGAGATGGGAGCGGGGTCGCCAGTACACGAGAGGCATGCCAGACATGCCTATTGGACATATGTTTAGTGGTAGGGAAACCGGAGTACCCGGAGGAAACCTACGCAGACACGGGAGAACATGCAAACTCCACTCAGAAAGGCCCTGGTCCGACCGGGATTCAAACCCAGGACCTTCTTGCTGAGAGGCGAGAGTGCTATCCACTCAGCCACCGTGCCGCCCAATAGATATATAGATAGTATTTATCACCACATGGTCGTTTTTGTAGTTTTAATAATGTCACCTTTTTCAAATGTTTTTCTCACTTGAATCTTGCCATGTGACTATCATGTGATTTTCTTCTCATTATTATCATCTGACACCACTTGACATTACTTTGAGGGGTCCAAACGTAAAGGATTTTGGTCTTTGTTCCCTTTCAATGTTTGAGGGCTCAAATGAAAACCAATAAAGCATCATTCATGCATTAATTCATCTTCATCCCCTTTTTCAGTCTGGGTCAGGTGGTAATACAAGCTTCCATCAAAGTCTTAAAGCACCAGACCCTCACTGATCCTCTGCAGGTGGATAAGGGAGGGAATTCGATCCTGGCTTGGTCTTTCAGTGGGTGCTTCAGGCAAAGTCAGGTTAAGCGTCTAGCCCAGGGATACAATAAAAGCAGACTTCAGTGGAAGGAGGAAGGATCAAACTCAGGACTATTAGTTCAAAGACCAATGCTCTACTAACTTAGCTACTGTACATAAAGCATAATATCTTGTGTTGAATGAAATAAATGTAATTGCATTGAGCTCCTTACCTATCTTTCACACAGACAAACCAAACACAACATCACCTTGTCCCTGTTTTTGTGTGGTTTTAGGAGCAGGAGCTGGTGATGCGCCTCACCGAGATGCAGTCTGAGTGTGTTCCCGTAGCAACCGCATCACGGACCTGGACCACGAGATCCACTCCCTGAACGAGACCATCGACACGCTGACCGGGAGCTGGAGCACAAGGGCAAAGAGGTGCTGAGGGTGCGGAGCGAGGCTAACCACCAGATCAGGTACGAGGGAGCATCGGCTCTACGGGGGCTCCCGGGTGCCAGCCACTCATTCTGACCGATTCCGTCTGCTGTATGGTTCATTACCCAAGATCAATCGTGAAGGTTGGGGCATAGATGATGGTCAAGCCGCTTATAAACAATAACAGACACGGGCTGCGGTGTTTAAACAACGCAACATTAACCCACCTTGAGACTTTTGCTGAAGTCTGACCAAATATAGCTGTTATTCAAACAGTTTCGCCCGCTGTTGTAAAAGATATGTTTTATATTTCTTAGGGCTGTCAAAATTAAATTAATTAATTTTTTTTTTTTTTTCATTAATCGCGTTAAAAAAAATATCACATTTGACGCATGCCCATGCGTCCCATAATAACACTCAGAATGCCGCGGACACATGCGCGTGTGTAAGATGGGAACAGAGCAGGTAGGCCCTCTGGGAATTCAAGTTTTGAAAGAATACACGCGTGACCGCGGGGCACTTGTTGTTTCCTGTGTGAACTCTGCATGATGAGCTGCGGGCGCGACAGCGCTCTGGACAGCAGTTCCCACTTCCAGCGACTGTGATGACGGCAAACGGCGCTGCGTAATGGGATCATATCCAAGACCACGCACAGAACTATTACAGAACTATTCTCTAGTGTGCGTACGTGTCTTTGCGTAACCGATGCACACAATATGTACAGCGCTGAAGCTGGACTGCGGAGCCTCAGTCGCTAAATTAAAGCTGAGTACCTAATTTTCCTTACAAATTAACAATTGTAAACCGCTTTGAGATCAGATCTGCAGTGAAAAGGCGGTATATAAATAAAAACTTACTTACTTACTAACTTACTTATTACTTTCGACCATCAGTTCATGTTAGTTGTGCCAAAAAAGTAATGGTGTGAGCAAATCGAACAGATTTAATGACATTCTGCATTTCAGACTATTTTGAAATGTCCCTCATCCTGTAACAAACAATGGTTTTGGTCTGAGTCTAAACAAAAAGACAGAATGTTAATAATGTTAATTCCATTTTATATGGATTTATTGTTATAACAAACAAATACAGTACATATGTTCACTAAGCTGTCATTTATCTTTCATTCAAACAACAATTTACAGAAAAATATGGCATAATTTTGCCAATAGTTTGAAATGCGATTAATTACGATTAATTAATTTTTAAGCTGTAATTAACTCAATTAAAAAAATTAATCGTTTGACAGCCCTAATTAAAACGTTATTTCAATATTGATACAAACCCTGCATAAGGTCTTTAAGTAGGTGCACTTGCTTAGTGCGTACTGCATTTGCCTCCTGTACTGGCGACCCCCACCCAACAATTGTAAACCGCTTTGAGACTCCGATGTGCAGTGAAAAGGCGGTATATAAATAAAAAAAAAAAAGCTTACTGTTGTTACCAAGGTTACAACAGAGACAGGAAGTGACATTTTCATCTATGGTTACCATGGATTCGGTTGCTATGGATACCCCATAGAATATAGAATCCTCCAAGATAGGTCAGTAGGCATGGTTGCTATGGATACCTCTTTGTGACGTCAGAATAGAATTCTCCAAAATAGGCTTATGTGTCATGACTATGAGTTTGAGCAAGGACTTTCTTTTGGGACGCTTTGATTTGGACACCTTGCTTTGGACCTGGGAAGTAAGTATGGAGGTAAGAAGGTATTAAGACTAGGAGATACTTTATTCAGTGGGGAAATTTCAGTGTTGCATCACAAGTTATAGAAACAGTAGGAAAGAGTAACCCCAGACCCATCAGGAACCTCAAGAGGACTTTACTGGAACTATGGAGGTAGAGTAAGTGTGCTTTGATGGATCGCAGTGCCATGGCTAACAGAAGCATGGCTAGCCAGAGCGACATAACCCGCGTTATTGCTTTGCTAGAGAAATGGAGAGAGGCTGAGAGACAGCATACAGCATCAGAGACGTCCTGGCAGCTGCAGCAGCAGTCCAATGGCGCTGATGATAGTGGGACAGCACTGCCCTGGAAAGAGGCTGAGGCAGTTTGGCTCGAGAAAGATCGTTTTCTAATGCAGCGAGGGGATGAGTTGCTTGTGTCCACTCAGGAAACTTTGGAGGCAGGAGACTGTCCAGATCTAAATGAGCTCCAAGAGCACTTCTGTGAGAGGTTGCTTCACTTGGAGGTGCGAAATGGTCTTTGGCTTCAGAAGGACGCCTGGTACAAAAGGGAAAAACTTATACAGAAGGAGCTCAAGTTCCAGAAGGCCAGGAATTATCTCTTGAATAAGCAATATGCAGACTTTCGCGATAGATGGGGAAGTTTCATTACAAATGGACCGGCACAAAGCAGCCGGGTGCAGCAGGAAACAGAGGTGAACTTGCTGCAGAGTCCAGAGGTAAGTTCTGAGGATGGACTTGAAGCAGAACATCCCGTTGAGAATAGGCCGGCACAAAACAGCCGGATGCAGCAGGAAACAGAGGTGAACTTGCTGCAGAGTCCAGAGGTAAGTTCTGAGGATGGACTAGAAGCAGAACATCCTGTTGAGAATAGGCCGGCACAAAACAGCCAGGCGCAGCAGGAAACAGAGGTGAACTTGCTGCAGAGTCCAGAGGTAAGTTCTGAGGATGGACTAAAAGCAGAACCTTCCAACATTCAAGAATCTGTTTCGGAGCAGAGACTCGAGAACATGGAGGCGAGAACATGGAGCGCGAGAACGTGGAGCGCGAGAACATGGAGCGCGAGAACATGGAGCGCGAGAAAAATATTTGCTCCTGAAATTGCCGGTTATGAAATCAGGAGAGCAGTGCTCAAAAAACAACAAGAGCAAGAAAGAAGGCAAACCCCGGATAAGCTTGTGAAACAGAGCATTGAGCGCCGGCAAAAGGGACTTTCAAATGGAAAAAGGATGATCTTTTGAAATCGGCGATACACGAACATCGACATCGGGTGCGGCACCAACTTGAGAGAAACAATGCTCAAATTAGGATTTTGCAGCAGGAGATTAAAGGCAAAGAGCAAAAATATTTTTAAATAGATAAATCTTTGCTCCTGAAATCAGCTGCACAACGGGCCATCAAAATGGAGGAATATCGTTTGCGTTCCGCCAAAAGTTTAGCTCGTCAGGCTGCTGGGTGTTCAACCTCCAACACTCCGTAAGCACGGCGTAACGGATCAGAGATGAAACATGTGGACAAAGTAAATACTCTCTGTTTACATGTTTCGGCTGCAGAGGTGTGAGCCATCATCACAACTGTCGGCGTCTTAGCGTGTCAACGTGAAGAAGCCGATGTTACTTCTAGAACCGGTTCGTCACAGGGGTGACGAACCGGTTCCAGAAAGGGCAGGTGTGGCTGCAGGGTTTAGTCCCAACCTACAGGAGCACCAACCCATTTAAAGACCGGTGTTCTGTCCGTTTGAGCCGCTTGTCGAGTTGTTTCAGTTGTTTATGAGGTAATGCAAACCTGTGCATGTGCGTCTGACGGCAGCGAAGCAAAACAAGATGATGGACAGAAAGTCTGTGTGTCGTTTAAAAAGTTTAATTATGAATTAAGACTGTGTCTTAATACAATTTGAGGCAAGATGTTGAGGTGCCATGTCGCAATTTGTGGGTAAAAAGTTTGTGTAAAGTTTGGTTTAAGTAAACTGCTCCTGTCAATCACACTACTATTGTGTGAGTCACTTTCTTGTCGAGCTGAACTGCCAGAGAGGTCAATTCACTGACGTACGGTGATGACGCGTCCTGTGGCTAACCCAACAGCTGTTAGCCTAGAACTTAGATTAGTTTATTATTTCCATTATCAACCCGACAGACCAATTGTAAGCTAACAGCTGTTGAGTTAGGCCGATGACACGTCCTGTAGCTATGTCAGTGAAATTACGTCTGCGGCAGTTCAACTCGACAGGAAAGGGACTCACAGAGTAGTCGTGTGATTGACAGGAGCAGTTACTACTTAAACCAAACTTTACTCTTAACACCCACATATCACGACATGGAACAATCAAAATCTTGCCTTAATTTGTTCGTATTTATACTTTTATACTTGGTTTGCTTCGGCCGGTTTGCATCGCATCTAAAACAGCTGAGGCAGCACAAATCGACAAGCGGCACAGACCCACAGAACGACACAGAACCTGTTCTGCCTCAGTGACATGACAGCACCTCTCTCAGGTTTGGGTCAGGACCATTCTCTGGTCCTGGATGTTCTTGCTTTGTCCTTTCTCTTTGGTGTTCGTTTTTTCTTGTGTAGAAAGAAAAAAGAACAACAAAGATCTGGTTCTTCTATGAATTAATTGTTTGCATTTAATTTCATTTATAGACCATGTTGTATTACATCAGTATCAGTATTTAATGCAGAGAAATCCATTGAATCCAGTGCACTGCAAGCGCGAGAAAACGCTTAGGACAGTCAACCATGTCAATACAGCTGTAAACAAAAATAGCTTTTACTGAAGCCATGTACACGCACTAAACTCTCAGACACTATAAATAATGACCATATCTAACTGTACAGACTTGGATTCAACGTGCAGAGTATTTAGCACATAACGACCAGTGTTCTTGCATCGCTCAGTAATGGTCTTACGGTAATACAAATGATGTTTAGTGTACGACCAGTTGTGGCTTTGTGACTTTTATTATAACACGACACGCATGAGTCCTAACCAGCCAAACGAGTTCCACCATTCATGACATTATCTCTTGCCTAGAATGTTTTAGATTTGTAATGAACCAACAAATTAGCATTTAAAAGCACAGTGAATATGAAACTTACATGATTCTGTGTAGATTGAAATTAGGACTAAAAAGTGCTCAACCCGATCCACCCAAATGGTGTCCCTTATTTTTTTGTTCTCAAGTTGGCAACCCTAAGGTGGAGGTCAGAGCAGACGAAGAATTCATACTTTTATCTTACGGCTGCTATGACCTTCACTTCCTGCACATACATTTGGACGAGCGCAGTCGCCGAGAACAAACGTAAACAACAATGGCGGCGGGTTCTATTTTCACTGCTGCTGTTAAATCGAGAAGGATGTTGGTTCTTTCACGTCGTTGCGGCGGCCTGAGGAGGATGTTGAGGAAGTTGTTCTATTACTGGGCCTCATGTGTTGTGTTACAAAGTTCCACAGCGTCTCTGTCTCTAAACCGTGGCCTTGGTCTTTGTTCTGTAGCTTAGGTCCTGGATCTACAGCTTCAGTCCTCATTCTACAGTCTGAGTCCTGGATCTATAGCCCGTCTGAATTTAACCAATGTAATAAAAGCAATAAAAATCATATAAGAATAGTTACTCTCTTACTTTTCATGAAACCATAGAAAACTGTCTGTACTAATCTGTCACTCTCCACTTTTCCTTCACTCTAAACAACGTATTTAAAGTAAGTACTGAGTTAAAGTAATCCTTTGACTCGGAGGACTTTACAAGACCATTTAAACAAAAAAGAAATATTGCATTATCAGTACTACTACAAACAAACAATATTGCATACTAATAAATCAATATTTATCCAAAAAAATCTATTCTTTTTTAATCGTCATTACCATGTCAAGCCACGGAAAGAGTCCGACCCAAAACTAATCCCTCCACTCCAAGGCTTGTAAACTGCAGCATTCATTTTGAGAATCATATTTTCAGACCAGACTGGGAAAAACAAAGCAAAAGTCCATCTTATCTAATCTTACTTGTATTTTATTATTTGCCATGTGTACAAGTCTCTCCATGGCCTCGCACCAAAGCCAAGACATGTTAGAGCCATGTGAATAAACTTGGACTTTGAAGAGTTCAGGGACTGGCCTCCTGCTGGGACTCTGAGGAGCACAGGGACTGGCCAAAAAGCAGAAATGCATAAAGATAATGATTTAATTAATGAAATAAATGAAACTCCAGGGTAAAAACAAAACCCAAAAAAACAAACAAAAAATATAAACAAAAATCAGGAACCAGGAAAACAGACGAACAAAGACAATGGACCAGCGACACAGGAGGATGAGCACAGGTACATATAGACAGAGACACAGGTACATAATAGACAGAGACATAGGTGAAACACTTTAGGGCGGGGCAGACAATCAAACCGGGAAGTCAAATAAAAGATGATAACCACAGAACTAATGTCAAAAAAAAATCCACACCTTGACAGTCCATGTTGATTAGAGCTTTTTATTTAACCCCAGTACCTGAAAAACGAATCCTTTAACGCCAAGATGAGCATTAGACAATCCCACTTTATATATCATGAAGTATTCAGTCAGAGGGCGTTCATCACTAAGTGGTTTGTGTCCTGCTCGTCTTTGACTATGGTTGTCTTTGCACAGACTTAATCCAGCTTTAATGTCTGACACTGCACACATGGATGTATGATTGAGAACAGATGAGATTTACCTTCAGGTTAATCCTTTTCACAACTTCATCCACTGTCAATGAACAACATTGTTGTGCTATTTCATGTTTGTAATATTAAGATACCAAAATCTAGGAAAGGTTGAATTTAACTATGATGTCAACTGTTTATTTATTATGTGAAAAACTTATACTGTATATCCCTCTATGTGCAGATTTCACTTTCTGAAATTATGTCAAGCACTAACGCACCATGTACTTGTTCTTTGATTCTTCTGCTGTGAAAAGATGAATTCAGGGGGGGGGGGGTATTTCAGTAGGTGCTTCAGGCAAAGTGGGGCTAAGCGTCTTGCCCAAAAACACAACGACAGCTGACATCAGTCTGAGTCGGTGGAGAAGGTCTCGTGGTGGGCTCGAACACACAACCCTCAGGCTCAAAGGCCAATGCTCTACCAACTGAGCCATAAAAATAGAAGAAGCCAGAACTCAGTTCTGGCCCATGACTTTAGTAGAATAAGGAGCAAGTATAAAATGTTGTATATTTTAGTGCAAGTAATAGTTGTGTGTTTACATTTGTACATGTGTTAGGAGTTTGAGGGCATGGGACCAATACACCACTGTACATGGCCCATCTGTGGACTAACTGTAAAAGAGGCAGTATGCACAAGCTGCTGATGGCTTATAATGACGCTTTTCAAGTGCTTATGGGAAAGCCACGATGGACCAGTGCATCTGAGCTGTTTGTCACCTCACGAGTGAACACTTTACAGGCTGTGTTGAGGAGCCTAATGTACAGTTTCATTTGTCGACTGAACAAATCAGAAAATGTATTAATTTTAGCGCTGACAAACATCAGGTTCAGTACCACTCGAGTGCAGTCCAAGATATGGAGACACTGGTACGGCCGTCTTTTAAACTCATAAGTGTTTGTTTGTTATTTTCTTTTGTCTTGTCTGTCTGTATGTTTTAATAATAAGAATTGACCGGTCCCGCCGTGACCTCACTGAAGCGCTGGTATGATTTGTTTCTGTTTCTAAAGACGTTGTTTCTAAAGACGTTGTTTCTAAAGACGTTGTTTCTAAAGACGTTGCTATTGAGAAAGTGGACTCTTACAAGTACCTGGGTGTTCATCTGAACCACAAACTGGACTGGATTCATAACACAGACGCCCTCTTCAAGAAGGGCCAGAGCCGCCTCTACCTGCTGAGGAGGCTCAGGTCTTTTGGAGTGCAGGGGCCACTCCTGAAGACCTTCTATGACTCTGTGGTGGCATCAGCCTCTTGTACGGTGTGGTCTGCTGGAACAGCAGTATCACAGAGAGGGACAGGAAGAAGCTGGACAAGGTAATCCGGAAGTCCAGCTCTGTCCTGGGCTGTTCCCTGGACACAGTGCAGCAGGTTGGGGACAGGAAGATCCTGAGCAAACTAACATCTATGCTGGACCATGACTGTCACCCCCTGCAGGACACTCTCTCTGCTCTGGAGAACAGCTTCAGTGACAGACTAATTCACCCTCGATGTGTGAGGGAGAGGTTTCGCAGGTCTTTCCTTCCTGCTGCTGTCAAGACTGTACAACGAGAATGTGTAACAGGAACTGCTGAGTCTGCACAAGTGTTTCTGATAATTCACTAGTAACTTTGTCACTAGTCACTTTACCTGTTATCAGTACTACTACAGTACTACATATCTGATATTTACTGTTATCAGTACTACTGTATTATTTCATATCTGATAATTCTGCCTTCCACCGTCACTTTACCTGTTGATATCTTACTGTATTATTCATATCCATCTGATAATTTTCAAGTCACTTTACCTGTTGATATTATTTCTGATGTTTATTCTGCTCATATTCTCATATTCTCCGCTGCTAATGTATAATATAGACATCTGTAAATACTCCGAACCAAGTGCAATTGTAGCACAGATTTTCTTATTTTATTTTATTTTATCTTAAATTTATTGTCTATTATCTTAAATAATAGGCTTTGATGTGTGCAATCTGAGTGCTCTTATTTCCTTGCTCTGCTGTAATGTGCAACGATGACACTGAAATTTCTCCACTGTGAGACTAATAAAGGTTTATCTTATCTTTCTCGATTTGGGGGGATAAGAAAAAAAAAAAAAAACACTATAGATTTTTAAACCTTTAGTAGTTCTCTTCTAATATAAAATGGTATATTTCTCCATGTAGACTTACTGTAGTCCATTACAATGTGATTTCCTTTGGTCCTGGTTGTGATGCGTTTTTTCATCCGCTTTTATTTTGACATATTTCTGTCTTGCCCGCGTCGCAAAGCTGACACAGGTCCGAACAACTCGCCGACCTTTCGTTCTGTCGCCCTGGGTCAACACAAAATTCATGGGTCAAAAACCCATTTTTGCATGTCCCTTTCTACCTGTTTTGCTCTTTAACTGTGTCACTTCCAACACTGATGAAGAGCCTAGTGTCCTGTGGTGACAAGAAGGAACCACAATGCTGGAATGCACATAAAAGTATAGTTTTGCGAAATATAAACCAAATCTAGGAAAGTTATCAACTCAAAAACCTAAGTGGGGAATAATACAGAGTATGAGTGCACACAGAGAGAGACAGGTGAAACACATCAGGGTGAGGCAAACATAGGATAGGAAGGAGAGGTGACAAAATATCTAAGTTAAAAATGAAAAGATCTTGATTCACATCATGCCACATAAATTGTGAACGTTAATGTATTGATCTAGCAAAAAATCACCTTGAAATCAGCTAAAAATGCATTGTAAGTTCTAGTTGTTTGCACAGCTCCACACACAATGTTAGACTTGGATTTGATATGTGTTGTATTGTTTCTTTTGTGTGCTTCTTCAGAGTCCACGAGCAGGACCTGACAAAGAGACACGAGCGTGACCTTGGGGAGATCAGCGCTGCCCACCACAGAGAGGCCCAGTGTATGTTAGCGGACTTCAACAAGGCCCAAGAGCTGCTCAAAGACAAGATCTCTGCTCTACAAATATTGTAAGTATTCTATGCTACTACTATACTAATACTATAACCCCACCAGTGTTCATAATGTTATAATACAGTGAAGATTCTTTCAACAAGACCCTGGACTTGTCTCAAACTTGTCTAAAACAGAATGAGCTTTTAACATGATCCAGCCAGCTCACAGATATCCCTATTATTATGTAGATACTTCCTGTTTTGCTCATGTTAACGTGGTAATAAAGTTGACTGCAATATTGAAGCCAGAGTTTTGAAATGGTGCACCAAATGTACTCTGCATTTAGGTTTTCTCATGTGCAAAAGTGAAAGTAACACTGGAGCAACTCACGTTTAGTTCACATGTCTGATAGAGCTAAACCGGTAAAACTACACTAGCTATTTCACTTTTCTCCCACAGTTTAGCACCTGGTTTGATATATGAGGCCTAGTTATTAGTTTTAATTATTGCTTATTTGCCACAAATACCACACACACACACAGTTACAGGACAGCAAAGAACACCAAACGCATGATTAATACAACTCAAAGAAGTCAACTCAATTAAATGTATTCTTGTATAGCCTTCGGTTTCAATTATTTTTTCAAATGCATCCACTTTAATTTTCCATCATACCTAAAGCAATGCTTTGTTCTTTTCAGTTCATCTTAGAGTCTCCGTCACAATGACACTCTTTACAGTTCCCAGAGCTTTCAGAGCTCTTTTTTTGCTGTTGTTGTACATTGAAAGACTATCTGCTGTAACCTGTCTATAGGGGACCCCAATGAAAGCGAGATGATGCATCACATGGGGTTATTCCTCTTTAAATAAAAGTCTAAATAAATAAATAGCCCTAAATCACAAAAGTGGTCATCTTAGAGGACTTGAATTGTTGAATTATCCAACTCAGATCAGATAATCAAACAGTTCAAACACAGAGAATAGAGTACACAGGTATTGGTCCATAGGGAGTTGACCAATGTCCATAATGTTGTTGAATGCTGAGTGTCCGGGATCATCACCACTGTCCTGTTAGTTAGACCCTCTAAAAGTCTAATAGACCCTCCCGCATCAGTAAGGAACAACTGTAAAACCCAGTGGGAGAAAAGGGAGAAACCTTGGAGAGGTCCACATTGAGAAAGGTCTCCGCTCCCCCAGACGGAGGGGCTATAGATCCAGGACTCAATCGAAGACCAAGGCCACGGTGCCTCCTGGGGAAGGGGTGCAGCCCACAAGTCGGGCCGGACAGGGCAGTCCGCAGGTGCAGATGGAGTGGAAATACTGCTTTAAGTTTTTCTACAACTTTGCACCATCTATTCTCAGTCCAAATGACAGCTCCACATAAACAAGGTCCTCCAAAGCCATCGTAATCCTATTTACTTTCTAAATGTTCTTTTGTTGTTTTCAGGTTGGAGGGGACAGAGGAGAAGCTGAGGAACAGGGAGAGCCGGCCTGAAGACCTCCACGTGATCGCAGAGCTCCGGGAGATGGTGTCAGAGAGAGAGGCTCTGGTCAAGAAACTCGTGGCAAGTGAAAATAATAAGGTTATTAAAGCTGGGGTACCTAACTTTTTTCTCATAAATTATGCATTCTATTTGTCCTGTATAAGTTAAACGTTGCGAACAAGTCAGACCACAACAAGTTGTATTAATCTCATTATAAAACATACTTGTAAGTCACTTATTGATGCTTTTGGCTAAGAGCTGATTCACAGATTTAACTTTTCTGTCTGATCAAGCATCTTGAAATCATCAAGATGTGACAGAGGTCAACAACACGTGCTCTGCTTTGAGAGCAAGAAACTAGTAACATAGTTCAATTTCTTTGTGGTCTGAAAGTTCGGTACCTCAGCTTTAAAGTCATAGCTTTAATTGAAATGAGCGGTTTGTGTTTCAGGATGATAAGAAGTTCTACCAGCTGGAGTTGGTGAACAGAGAAACTGGTTTTGGGAAAGTGTTCAATGCCAGTGCAAACGTGGGAGTGATCAATCCCCTGATCAAAGTGAACGGAGGACAGCAGTACACCAAGGTACCCCTCAGATACTCTACTACTACTACTTCTACTTTTGTGAGGGGCAGTTTGGGACCAGTGTCAGTCTGTCAGTTAGAATCAGATTCATTATGTTTGTCATTTGTAGTAAAACCAAATTGTAATACATTTGCAAAAGTCCCCAGTGTGAACCTTCAAGTTCATACATGAAACAAGCTAAAAAGTACAGAAATAAAAACAAGTAAAGTACAAGAAACAGTTGACACTCCTGTAAAGCCGTTTTCGAGAGGACGGAAGGCGGCACACAAAATGAAGGGGTAATTGTGTAATTATCTTTCCGGGTACACCCCCACCACCTCGGAGTGAGACTGCAAGCATACCAGCACATGTGCTCATGGACCTTTTTTAACTGGGACCGTCCCCTCTGGAAAGAAGCTGAAACATGGCTTTTCCAGGGGCCAGAAGAGCTCGGTTTTAGATTCTGGATTCATTAAGAGCCTCCAGAACAGGCAACTGTCCTTTTTCAGAGCGGAGCACCTTGTCTCTCCTTTCTTTGTCTGTGATGTTTCTAACCCACACAGCCACAGAACCCAACAAGCAAAGTTTACGCAAAAAGTAGAGACGCTAACAAGCTTTCATAACAACCAGATTAGTTTTTTAGTCCGATTTCAGGTCATTAGACAGGGTTAAGCCCAGAACCATACACCCCTCTACTATCTGCACTTTGGAGTTATTCATAAGAACAGGCGTGTGAGAACTGACTGAAATCAAAGACAAGTACACAATCTCCCAAACTGCCTTTTACTGCCCTCTTCACGTCCGCAGATGTCTCCCACTTCTCTAACCTGCACCTGGTCTTGCTTTTGTTCACGTCGTAATGAGAGTTTCAGAACGTCTTGTGACCGGTGGCTGTTTGATGTTCAATGTACTTTCTGCATTTATCCTTCATGCCAGTTTCCCACTATTTCCCAGTAGTCCCACTGCTTCCACTATCCCACGTCCAACCCTTCACTCCCCGTATCACAAAAAAAAAAAGAAATCAACATTTATTGAGCTGTGAATTGTCAAAACTGCGTGATTTTGCTGTATATCATTACCATTAATAGTACAGTAATATTTATATCTTTACTGGTATATCAATCCCCTCTAATCTATACAAATATTTTATAGAACGTCCAATGATTTGAACAGTAATCTCCAAGAGCAAAGGACAAGCATAGCAATACAAAATTACAAAAAAACATTGTATGTAATGTATTTTTGTTTCATATAACATACATTTCAAATACATACATTTCTAAGATAAACTTGGTTTTTCCCTGTGCTCTTAAACGCATCCCAGCCTGCTGTCGCATAAGGATCCAATAGTTGTGTTTGTAAATGCAGCTCAAGCGCAGTAGAACCAGAATACAGCAACATCTCAGAATTAAGTCGGTTTTCATTCCTCAATCACGGTTGCGTCTTTATTAATTGAGTAAAATTCTAGTGGATGAAGGATCTAGCTTTTATTAATATTTTGTAAACAAACTCAAAGTCAGGGGTGTCAAACCGAGGGGCAGGACCGGTGTGGATTTGGGTTTTCATAGCAACCACACCAGACTCCTCCCATTTCCTCATGTGAGCCCAGTCTGGTGTGCTCCTTCTTGGTTGGAATCAAAACCTGCAGCTACACCGATTCTTTCTGGGACTAGTTTGGCATCTCTGGTCTAAGTGTTGCGATACAAAAGACAAACGAGATAAATCCTGATGAATTTTGTTCTGTCAGTTTTGCACGGTTCAAAATGACATTCACATCGGTTTGACCACTGCACCCGAGCTTTTAACTATTATTTTGTGTTATTTAGTGCTTGCGCATTGGACTCACCGTATTGCCCCAATTCACAAAACCAACTTGGTTAATTTGGTCACACAAACCCTCACTAATTAACAGCTGAATAAGTGCTAATTAGTGTATAAAGTCTGGTAAATTAGCTCTTAAATGGTGTTTATGAAGCACTTATTAGTCCTTAATCTACATGGCCTTATTCAACATCTAACTACTAATTGTCACTTTTTCATGTTAGGGCTAGGACGCACTAATCAGCACTTAATTAGTAATTGTTAATTAGTGAGAGCTAATCTACAGTGTTACCGTTATTTTTTATAGATATAGTCAATCGTGTAAAAGGCGCCGTGTTCACTGTATGTGTGTAGCTTAACTCCGTGGTCCAATCAGAGCAGCACCTCAGCCTCTCTAGCCAATCAGCTCTGGCCTTCTGTAGCGCGCAGGCGGGACAGGAAGCGCGCTGGTCCCTGCCGCGAATCAGGAAACGGCCTCCTCTGTCCATCAACATCACGCCATTTCCTGTCTCCGCCCACCCTCATCCACTCAGCATCACTCTGGACCAGTGCAACAGGTGAGGAGGGAACAGGACTGAGACTAAACCAGGACTAAAGCAGGTCGAAAACAAGATTTTCAAACCAATACTGTAACTATGTAATACAACCCATGTCCTAGTTCCTGGTTCTAAAACAGTTAACTTCTTCTCATCCATGTACTTTTGCCTCTGTCACATCTTTAGATTAGTGTATTGAGACAGAAAAGTGAGAACTAGAGAATCACCCTCACTCAGCCAATCAGCTTTCAGCCCAAAGAGTCAAATCAATCAATCACTGTATTTATCCCCAAGGGGCAATTAAAAAGCACGGAGAGTTGTAAGTTACATGCTAAAAAGCTCAATAAATATCACATAAATACATTCACACACATCCTGTCTAAGTTCATGTTTGGAGTGTTTTAACACTTGCGCTGGGGTAATGACGGGTCAGAGTTCAGCATCTGAATCACTGTTGGAACAAAAGTGGATTTCCTCCTCTGCGTCCTACATCCCACCGAGCGCAGCCTCCTCCCTGAAGGCAGCCACTCAAACACAGGGAAGAGAACATGAGCAGGGTCTCCCAGAATTCTATAGGCCACTCTCATGGCCTGCTGATCGATTGATTAACTAGGTTTAAACAGAACTAAAGCAGGTTTAAAATAGGAGTAAAGCTACACTTCTATATTCAGGCTAAACCAGGGCTAAACTAGAACGATAACCAAGACTGAACCAGGAATGAACCAGGACAGAACCTAGCCTGACTCTCACCAGACTCTTGTAGTTCAAGATAACAGACAAATGGTTTATCCAATCACATATAGGGATTTTTTTACAAGGCCCGCCTTCTGAAATGTATCCGCTATGGAATAGACCCAGACCCTTGTGTGAAGCTCAGCGATCTACAAGGGTCCGGCGAGAGTCATGCTAGACGGAACCAGGACTGAACCAGGACTAAACTTTAACATTTCAAATCCACCTTGTTGCATTCTCACTCCTCATTTCACCCATGTTTGTTTTCATAAACTCTTTATCAAATGCATGAAGAATCGTTCTTTACAACAGCACTGTGAGAGAAGCATTTCTCAAACTTGACCAGTGTTTATATTAGCCTTTTTGTGATCATTTAGAAGAAAACACACAATGCAGCACCAATCATTGTTTAATATCAAAGTAAAAATGTATGCTTCCTGGTTGGAGTCAAACCCATTATTTATAGTAGAAAATCTAGAATACTTTATACTTGAATAAGATTTTATTTTATTTTTTATTATTGCTCCCAGTTTTAGAATATCACGGTGAAAGTAATGTGAATATATTATTTCAAATGGTCTGTATTGATCTTTTAACCTTGTTGTAGATTAATTTAGTCCTGGTTTAGTATAAAGAAACTGCAGACTACTAAATTACTGCAGTGATGACTGTGTAATCTTGTATTGTCCAGAAAATGCCATTTTCACCCAGCACCTATCCCCACCCGTCCATTGGGCGGGGATAGGTGCTAGGTGTCATTATTTTTTTAACCAGATTACAGGTCAAAGAGATGTAGTTAAACTGTGACGCAACGTTGGTCTTCTGCTGTGACAATGAGTTACTATCAGTTCAATAGAAAATATATGGACAGGATATGAAAACACTCCCATCTAGTGGTAAAAGTGGGGAATTACATCCTGCTATTATAGTTAAATATTGTTTCTTAAATTGAAGGCACAACATTGATTTAGAAGCACTACCTTTAGATTAAAACAGCTCTGTACTTTCAAGTTTTAAAACAGAGAATATAGACAGAAGGAGGCGAGGCTACGTTCTTGATATTTAGTGTGGAGGGAGCAAAAAACGTGTCTCAGTTTGTATAATGCATATCGTTAAAGCTGAGGTACGTAACTTTCAAACAACATTATTTTTTCACATGCATGTATTTCTGGCCTCTGTCATATTTTTTGACAATAATGTGAAAAAAAGAGAACCACCCTCACTCACTCAATCAGCTCTCACCCCTAAGAGTCAGGTAGTGACGCACAGGGCTCTTTCTTGCACAAAAGGCAGCATGATGTGGTCTCATTTGTTCACAACATTCAACTTTTACTTTTTCTCTTGGGACAAACAATTAAACCAGAAAGTTACATCCCACAGCTTTAAATACTGTGTAAATTTCTTCATCGTAGCTACTTCTGTCTAACCTCATGCTGCTGTGTTTTCAGCCTTCCTGAAGCTTCAGATGTGAGCAACGTGAAGTCTGAGATGCTGGCGGTGGAGACGGTTCAGACCAGTCCAAACCAGTTCGACTCGTCCTTCTTCACCTTCTGAGGATTGGCCGCGAAAAACACTAAACAAAAGTCAAAAAACAGCAGCGTGGGGTCCAGAGGCGCGAGGGCACAGGAAAAATACTGTTATTACTTATTTAGCTGATGACGGTTCAGACCCTATGAAAATCATTATGCTTTTATCATAGTGACTTAAATATGACTTTTAATGCTGTTACTACTAAAGGAACTAAAAATAGGTTCTTGAATAATAAGTGGAGATATTGATATGATTGAAAAAGTATATAATACGTTTTAAAATATATATTTTTTGGATAATCAAATATTTATGTTTATCTTATTTTTTCTTACAAATGCCACTGTATACATTTTATCTACACATTACACACAAACACATTATTTGTGTTTGTGCTGGTTTCGTCCTGGTTTTACAAACATAATTGTTTGTAAAACCAGGACTGAACCAGGATTAAACAATATATTTCACATATTTTTGACCAAAAATGTTTTTCATATAATCATATCAATTTATCGAATCATAATAAATTATTTTAGATAATAGTTTATAGATAAAATTTTAAATTTATTTAATATAATTTTTTTCTGAAGCTAATTGGTTTGAAGTAAGATATATTCTTGTAAATTGTATTGATATGTGGAGATATAAATACAATTTTAATACAAAAACATATTAGTGTATTCTTTACCATAAAAAAAAAAACCCTGTATAGTTTTTCTCATTCACATATTTCAGAAAAGCTTGAATTTCTTAAATACAAAACTTGTCTTTGGATTTATAAGATTTTTATTTGTCTATATATTTCTATTCACAAAAACAAGAAACTTCTGTCTAATTCTTCCCCGGTTTCAATCAGCTCGTGCTTGTCCCTATGAGGCTGTAATCTTAAGATGTAATACTCCATACTCAGGCTAAAGACAAGCGTCAGACTTACCGTAGCTCCCTGGAGGAAACCCACACAGACGCTGGGATAACATTCTCACTTTCATAACACAATATTACCAATGTAAGTTAGTCAGTAAAGCTTATTTGTATAGTGCATTTCACAGACCAGGATCACAAAGCGCTTCACAAATTGAAACACATAAAATACACATACAACTCTGATTCAAAAACAAAAACACAGAAACACACAGTTCACAGAGGCCTATGAACAGTGAGGCGAGAAAGCCTGTCTAAACAAATGTGTCTTAAGTTGGGGCTTAAAATCCTCGACAGTCTCTAAGATGCGCAGAGACTGAGGAAGCTCATTCCAAATGTGAGGAGCAACTGCCAGGAAGGATCTGTCTCCTCTGGTTTTAAAGTGAGTGCGGGGGACCATCACCAGGTTCTGAGTGGAGGACCTCAGGGTTCTGTTGGAGACATAGGGGTGGATCAAGCTCTGGATGTATTCAGGCGCCTGACCATGAAGTGCCCTGAATGTCAGCACTAGAATTTTAAAATGTATTCTGTGTGAGACAGGGAGCCAGTGTTATGACCACAAGATAGGAGTAATGTGGGCTCTCCTGTGGGTGCGGGTCAAAAGCCTCGCAGCAAAATTTTGAGCAACTTGTAAACGAGCCAGATCTTTCTTACCAAGACATGCAAGCTGGCTGTTACAATAGTCCAGTCGTGAGGAAACAAAAGCGTGGACAATCTCCAGCTCCTGATCCGAGACCATATGTCTGAGCTTGGATGAAGTATCCTTGTGAGTGACTGACTCGAAGGACGACCAGCTCTGAGGAGGAGGGTCAATGGGAGCTTGACTGACGGAAGGAGAGGAAGGAAGATTATTTTAATCTCTCTAACCTTGTCAATGAAGAAGTTCAGAAACTCAGTACAACTTGCTCTGCACTGCACAGCGACAGCAGCAGGAGAGAGAATAGAATTGGTAGTGTTGAAGAGCGCTTCTTATTTTTCTTTTATTGGAGACAATCCATCCATCCATCCATTTTCTTCCGCTTTATCCGTTGCTGGGTCGCGGGGGCAGCAGTCTAAGCAGAGACGCCCAGACTTCCCTATCCACACACACCTCCTCCAGCTCGTCCGGGGGGACCCCAAGGCGTTCCCAGGCCAGCTGAGAGACATAGTCTCTCCAGCGTGTCCTGGGTCTTCCCCGGGGCCTCCTCCCGGTGGGACGTGCCCGGAACACCTCCCCAGGAAGGCGTCCAGGAGGCATCCTGAACAGATGCCCGAGCCACCTCAACTGGTTCCTCTCGACGTGGAGAAGCAGCGGCTCTACTCCGAGCTCCTCCCGTGTGACCGAGCTCCTCACCCTATCTCTAAGGGAGCGCCCAGCCACTCTGCGGAGGAAGCTCATTTCGACCGCTTGTATCCGCAATCTCGTTCTTTCGGTCATTACCCACAGCTCATGACCATAGGTGAGGGAGGGAACGAAGATTGACCGGTAAATTGAGAGCTTTGCCTTTCGGCTCAATCTCACGCTCCATCCTCCCCTCACTTGTGAACAAGACCCCGAGATACTTGAACTCCTCCACTTGAGGAAGGACCTCTCCACCCACCTGAAGAGGGCAAGGCACCTTTTTCCGGTCGAGCACCATGGCCTCGGATTTGGAGGTGCTGATTCTCATCCCAGCCGCTTCACACTCGGCTGCAAACCATCCCAGTGCATGTTGTAGGTCGAACGCCTTCTCCAAATCCACAAAGCACATGTGGACAGGTTGGGCGAACTCCCATGAACCCTCGAGTATCCGATGGAGAGTATAGAGCTGGTCCAGTGTTCCGCGACCGGGACGAAAACCACACTGCTCCTCCTGGATCCGAGATTCGACCATCGGCCGTAGCCTCCTCTCCAGTACCTTGGAGTAGACCTTACCGGGGAGGCTGAGGAGTGTGATCCCACGATAATTGGAACACACCCTCCGGTCCCCCTTCTTGTAGAGAGGGACCACCACCCCGGTCTGCCACTCCATTGGCACCGCCCCCGATCGCCACGCGATGTTGCAGACGTGTCAGCCAAGACAGTCCTACAACATCCAGAGACTTTAGATAGTCAGGACGGATCTCATCCACTCCCGGCGCCTTGCCACCATGGAGGCTGCCAACCACCTTGGTGACCTCGGCCAGGGAGATGGAAGTATCCGCCCCAACATCCTCAGCCTCTGCCTCCTGGACGGAGGACGTGATGGGGGGATTGAGGAGAACCTCGAAGTATTCCTTCCACCGCCCGACAATATCCCCAGTCAAGGTCAGCAGCCCTCCACCCGCACCATACACGGTGTTGGCAAAGAACTGCTTCCCCCTCCTGAGGCGCCGGACGGTTTGCCAGAACCTCTTCGAGGCCGACCGATAGTCATGCTCCATGGACTCTCCGAACTCCTCCCAGTCCCGGGTTTTTGCCTCTGCAACAGCCCGGGCCGCGGCACGTTTGGCCTGCCGGTACTGGACAGCTGCCTCAGGAGTCCCGCGAACCATCATTGCTCGATAGGACTCCTTCTTCAGCCTGACGGCATCCCTTACTGCCGGTGTCCACCACCGGGTTCAACAGTGACCATTAAAAGAACACATGAGCTCGTCTATTTCGGTGCAGTTATACAACAGAGGAGTCAAAGCTTTCACAGAACCTTTCTGTGAAATGTATAATCTTCAAAAACACACAGGCCTTTTGAATAGGACTAAATCAAGACTGAGGCCTAACTGTACCAGGACTAAACCAGGACTGAGGCCTAACTAAACCAGGACTAAACCAGGACTGAGGCCTAACTACACTCTAAACCAGGACTAAACCAGGACTGAGGCCTAACTACACTCTAAACCAGGACTAAACCAGGACTGAGGCCTAACTAAACCAGGACTTAACCAGGACTGAGGCCTATCTAAACCAGGACTAAACCAGGACTGAGGCGTAACTAAACCAGGACTGAGGCCTAACTAAACCAGGACTAAACCAGGACTGAGGCCTAACTAAACCAGGACTAAACCAGGACTAAGGTTCGTGGCTTGAATAGTCGTTTTGCTTGTTCCATCTTGTTCAATCTTGCTATAAGACCCAGTCAAAATATTCTCAAGTTAAGATGAAAATCAAAGCATTTATTGATCACATTTTAGCTTACCATACATTTCTTTCCATTTCTGTGCTGAAAAAGTAGCTCTCCGAGAAGTAAAGCCAAGCAGAGCTGATAGAAATCGGTGATTCTAAATATATAATAAGTATAAATCTATTTGTTACCTCATTTATAACACCAGCAGAGCGCCTTCACTCTCGCTCTGGCCCCCGCGCTGCCTCTGTACATACAATAGATGTCTACAGATGTTTTTAAATCTCTCTTAGGAGCGCTTGGTTTACCGCCTGCTGTGAACCAAGCGCTCCTTTGGATTTCTACTATCAAAGTGTTTATAACGAGCTGTTTTTCTATGGTCAATGCCAAGTTACTCAAACATGCACAAGTTTAGTCCGAAATTATGGGAAAATTCTAGGCTAAAATTGTGCATTTATTTTGGTCGACCATAGAGCATGTTAAAACAGGATCACTTGAATCAAACACATCCACACATTTATTTCTGTTGCTTTTTTTACTATTTTAGAGTTGTGCCAAATGCATGGTCTGGGTCAGCTGCCATCAAGGTTGATCCAAAACAAGGTTACACAAATTCATCTAAAAACACTGAGGCTTGTCTTCCATACATTTCGCTGTCTCCCAGAAATTATTTGAATGATTTTTTCTGCAGTTTCTTTGAAAATCTATAATGTTGTATACTGTGAGACCAGATAAACTCTGCAACATTATCAAAAGTAGAGAAAACTGGACAAGATCCATAGACTGTTATGGACTGTACTAACAGGCTCGCAAGTAATTGGCAAATCCAAACACACTTTCTTGCGAGTAATACCCTCAAAATGCTGCTGGAATCCCAAAAGATTATCTTTAATTCTAGTAATGGCTCCCATTCACTTTGGGTCAAATTCAAATGAACTTATTTTGGGCAAGTCAAAGACAGAGTCAATCAGGAGCGGAGTCATTCCTCTCTCACGCGACTCACTGCTGAGGCCAAATTAAGTGACAGAAGGCTCCTGATTGGTCAAT